TCCAAGTTCCCAACACCGGAGGGCGTACAAAGTTCCCGTCAATGGTTGGACTTCGCATTTTCGTATAAAATGCGCGAATTGAAATTATTTCTGACAACGACACCACTGTGAAAGTATTTTATTCAAACACCGATGGTAAAACAAGTGAAAAATCTGTATATGACGACCGAAACTACACATAGAACGTTGGTACGTTTACTTCCGGGACGTGGCAATAGCCACATTGTCTCCTGCCACGCCCGTGGCAGTAGCCATATTGTCTCCTGCCACGGGCGTGGCACGAGACTCGGCCAATAATAAGATGTAATAAACAACCAAATATACGATTATCAAACCAATAACCGTTTGTGTGTCTGTAGTTCCGTCCGCCCGCCTGTCTATCAACATGTCTAATGTCAATTTTAGCTACAGCTGTTTACTTTGAAGTTTATAGTGATTTACGTACCATGTATTCAGAAACCACTTAAAGAGACAAAGTGGCTGTTTGCTATTGCTTGTTGTTAAAATAATTGATGTATACTAGTAATTGTTCATAAAATGAAAATAATGTTGTAGCTGAAAACAAAGTAGCATTCGTTCGAAGAAACACCACTTTGTATTAACCTGTACGTACAGGTGAATGCGAGACGCATCCGCAATTATCAATCAGTATTGTTTCGAATGCTGCTTGTTGCCAAAACTCGTGGGTTTTATTTGACGACAACCCAGACCATAATTTTTATATCATGGAAAGCGAAAACAATTGATTAAACATTATTAAAATTACTCAAAGTTATCCTTATTTACACTATGTCTGTTTTGTTTTGTTTTCTTTTTCAGAGTCGTAATGTCCGAATCATAATATTCTTTAACAAGAGAACGTCTATCCTGGCCTGGTAGTCCGAGTTACGATTATAAAGGCTCATAATTTAACAAGTAAAGTGTGCTACAATCATTCCTGGTCATAATAAAGCATGAATAGATGGAGTCTTCGAGTCACTTATGCAGTTTTACGATTGTCTGATTTCAAACACTTCATAGTAGCGAGAAGGGTTTTGTGACGTTTTCGAATAAAACATTCTCTGTCTATTGTCTCGTTCAGAACAGTAATTTAGCTAATATATTTCAAAAGACTAAGTATAGAGGTACAAGTTCGCACAAACTGGACAGTCATTGTTTACATAATTATCACGTAACACCATAAATGGCGAACCTTGTGAAAATGACTAAGTCTGCAATTGCGAGAGCACACTGCGGAATTTCCTGGTGAAATTTACGTCATGCATTGTCCGTTCA